AWKRAWWAAAAAMCAGCAGTTCAGTAAATCATCTCACTGAATTTCACTTTGAATGAAGCTCAAAATGAAGTTTACATGATTGACATCTACAAACAAATAAAAAATGCTGCTTTTTTTACGTACCTGAGTACAAATTCATCCCTCGCCGCAATACTTTCACGTAAGGAAGTGAGYGATCGTATCCATTACAAGGCAAATTTATACTTCAGGAAGAAGTCTCTCTGTGTATGCGATGTTTATTGAGAATTACTTAAGTATTTGCATTGCTGACGCGGTCTTATTAGGTATTATGCAGAATGAGCACCCGTGCCAGCTTTGACACATTAATATTGTGGTTAATAGGTCGGACAGGCTATTATTGCTCTTTTTAATAAGCAACATGTTTGCGCAGTAAGAAAATATTACGCCTTCCATGACAGCCTTTTCGTATCCCTTAGAAACTGGACCTCGTACTTAGTTTTATAATAAAAGTTATGGCATAAGATTTTGTTCAAGACGAGAAAATGACTATTTATTTTTATATTACTTGTCAAAGAACAGACTGAAAGTGATGACAAAATAACTCTCTATTTTTGTGACTATACTTGTTAAAAAACAAACTGAAAATGACGACAAAATAACCCTCTATTTTTGTGACTATACTTGTTAAAAAACAAACTGAAAATGACGACAAAATAACCCTCTATTTTTGTGACTATCATGTTAAAAAAGATACTGAAAATGACGACAAAATAACTCTCTGTTTTTGTGACTATACTTGTTACTTAGTAAGATACTGAAAATGATGACTTTCAACTCTCAAATAACTACCAAATATCGGCTTTTTTTTATCTTCACAAAGATAAAAGGAAAAGCTGGGACTCTTTGTTTCTAGGTTTCGGCGTTTATATATTTTTTATACTATATACAATTACGTAAACATATTTTAACCCAAGTGGAAATGCATGCATAGCAGCACAGCGGGAGGTCTATATACATTATACATGATAAACTATAGTACACCTGCAGAAAAACGGCCCTAGCAGCAAGGAGTTTATACTAATTGTAAATTAAAGTGTTTTGGGATTAAAAATGTTCTTTAAGATAACATATTCTTGGCGGTTAGTCTTTTTATTGTTCATTCGAATTTTAGATCTGTATGAAGGTTAACCACATCGACAAAAAATAATTTTCTTATGTACACTGTTTGAAAGTGAGTTTAAAACCCCCTTTGTATATTACCCTGCGCACAGCTGACGATTTTTTGTAGAAAAATCTTCTGCTCGTTTGATAATTTTGAAGTTGTTCGTATATCGCGATGGATGTTTGCTAGCGTTTGTTTTTCATACTACATTTTTTAACACCATTATGATAGTGAACGTCAAAATCACCAAGCAAAAATAAACTCAAATATTGCTCAAATGTTTGCTTTGGAGACAGAAATATAATCTACTCTTTCGTGGTCTCGTGGAGTTGACCAGTCCATTATTAGATTAATCAATACTGACCCTATTCAGATTGGTCTTTTTTGAGTTAATCTGTGGCTTTAGTTTCTGTTATAGGGGGGGGGAGAGGGGAGCTCTTTGGACTAACCCTCTCCACTACCTTTGCAAAAACTGGTGCTATTACCATGAAACCTAACAGCGAACAATGATCGCCCGCATTGCAAACTGCTGTACTATAAGCTTTTTTATCTGCGGAAACTAAACATAACATCAAAGTGACGTCATATATTCTATTTTTTAGAATTTTTGATATATAACGCACTGTACTGTGATTGGCAGATGACGGTGTTTTCTAGCAGAGGAAAGAGACACGTGACTTACCGGCAAAATTTGTTTTTAGCTCGAAAAATGCAGAAACATTTTATAATAACAACTATGCAACGGCCGCTTGTGGCTCTGTTCTCTGATATAAACACGGTAATAAAAGAGTTGAAAAATAGTACTCGAGAAGCAATGGAAACACTCGCGCTACGCTCGTGTTCCTAAGCTTGCCTTCTTTTGTGTTTTTACAACTCCCACCGTGTTTATATCAGAGGACACAGAAACGCACGCCATTTAATATTTAAGAAATATAAAACGGCGCGCGTGTCTCTGTCCTCTGATATAAACACGGTGGGAGTTCGAAAAACACGAGAGAAGCAAGCTTCGGAACACGAGCGTAGCGAGTGTTTCTCTTGCTTCTCGAGCGAAAGGAGCGAAAAGACAATCTTGCCGGTAAGCCGTGTCTCTGCCCTCTGATATAAAACGGTCGTCAGCCAATCAGAGCGCGCGTTATATATCAAAAATTTTATATATTTTCTTAANATAAGCGCGATTCCTAATGTAATGGCTTTTCATGGAGCATTTAAAAATCCTAAGGAACACTGCAAATATCATCTCATCACTATTAACATATCCTAAAAACAATATTTACATAGGCTGAGCTATTTAGATGGCTGTCCGTACATTCTCGTACCCAGACCCTACTCTGTCGGCCTCTAGAGGCCTGTCGTAGGCTCTAGGACACCCTTTAATTTCAAGCCACATGATTGGCTAATTCAAATAACAAACGGACAAGATTGTAACCGCGATCAAAAATTCAAATATTTATAATTTATATATCACTAGTACGTTTTTTTCGTACATATTCTTGCCTATTCTGGATCCTCTGAACGAGTTGAAATAAAAACCTGTGTCATCATTCTTTACGACATCGAACTTTGGTACGAAAAATGACTTGAATCAAGGTAAAAATAGGTCTCAAGCAGACGGGTCTCAAGAAAAATGACATTTCTCGCTGAAGCACCCATCAGCCGGGATTAACGACAGCCGTCAACTCACTTGACCTCACGGACTTATYTCACCTGTTTTTAAGCAAAATCAAAGCTCAAGAATTGCCATAATTGGTCGTTAGGCCACGTCAGGTCACGTGACTTCCTGACGTAKGGTACGGAGAGGTACGGAGTGGTACGTGAAACCCTGAACTTTGCCCTTTCTTTACTTCTTCTCGTGGGTGTAAGGAGCTTCGGTACATTCAGTAATCTTCGTCTGATTTTGGACCCTATTAACAAAGGTAATTCATTTAATAAGGGTTAGCGAGGGTGAGACTTTAACGTGATTGTTATATAGTTTTACGGTTGGGACTATTAGTTGTAGACGCTATATGTTAAATGCGGTGTAGCGTTGTGCGCGCGAAAGACCACCCGTATTATATCCACAAGTATGTRATGTGGTTGGACTTATTCCTTGCTTTTATTTGTCAGAAATCATGTACGCCAGATCGCCTTGTACGGTGAGTATGTATGGTGGTAATTTATATTTCATACGTGAATTTCTCATCGTTTACTAGTCTGTTAGAACGTGTGTACGAATGATGGCAAAGTAACACAATGTCTAATGGACTGTTGTTTTTTTATTTTCTTTCTTGGGTAATAATTTCTCACATTTAGTTAGACAATGGACTGTTTGTATTGATAATTAATGAAAAACAATACCTTTAATCATAAGAACCTACCTAGTAAATTGTATGTCTTTACACTAATACCTTTATGGTTGGTCGTTTGTGCTACACCCTACCCTGTGAGCAGAGTGTATTTCCTTACCTCAATAAAAATTCGCGAAGGAAAATATTATGTTATTTTCCTTCGCGAATTTTTATTGAGGTAAGGAAATACACTCTGCTCGCAGGGTAGCTACACCCGCTTTGTTGTACCGAATTGCAGTCGAACGACCGCCCTACAACTTACTGCAAGAGTCATATCCGAAGAGATAAATCGATAACTCTTTCTACAAGCTATTTGTTAGTGTTTAGTTACATTGTTTCAGTTATAATTCTTCCGCCGTTTATGTTAGTTGACAAACGTTTTAAACCTGGGATCAAAGGTTTTTCAACTGGGATCGGGATCAATGATTTACAGGGCAGTTGCGTACGTGCTCTACAGGAAACATGTAATATATATCAGATATGTTGACAGTATTGTCAGTCCATCAAAATCCTCTCTTTTGATTGGTCTAAATCAATCCTCACACAATAGATATTTACAGAGCTAGACCGGCTAGTCCAATCACATTACGCCTCGGAGATATGTTTGTTGTTAGTTGTCATTTGATATTTGAGCACGCATTGCCTGGAATTMTTGTGGTACCTTGTATTGYTTATTACCATTATTACTGTTRTAATTGCTTTGATTCTTTTGTGCGCCCAACGATGGGCAAGAGCCACGAGGCTTAGAATCACTTTTGGGAACATTCTCGATCTTTTGTACTTTCACGATGAGAAATCACGATATAAAAAGCAACTAAAACACTCGAAAACTAGCGTAAAAAAACTACTTATGGGGCGGGCATTTGACCATTCATTTGCTTTTACTAGTGGCATTTGACTGTCAATTTTGCCCATATGGTGGGGAATTTGACCAATTTTTTTCCAAAAAGTCAAATGCCCGGGGGTTCGCACCTTTGGAATTGACTCATACATTATAGTTGTTGTGTTGTCACAAGATTCCAGTAAACATGCCCGTGCCTTCTCTATCGTAAATTAATAGCAACTTTGCGCGTGTGTCTCTGTCCTCTGATATAAACACGGTGGGAGTTGAAAAACATGAGAGAAGCAAGCCTCTTGCCGTTTTATATTTCTTTTATATAATTGTTCTGCGCTCCTCGAGCGAAAAACAAATTTTGCCGGTAAGAGGTGTCTTTGTCACGTCCTCTGATATAAAGCACGGTCGTCAGCCAACCAGAGGCAGAGCACGCGTTATATATCAAATATTTTATAATGAGTTTTAGAGCTTGATTAGCACCAATGCTTTATTGAAATTATCAAACATAACAAGTATGAAACTAGAGTTCTTAATTTACGTTATCCAAATTTGCTGTGTTTATTTCCTTGCAAATTTACTGTGATCGTGATAATCAACAGCTTATAAGGGAATAGTGATTAGAACAGCGATGGGGTTGGAGGTTGGGGAGATGTTTAGCTTCGTTAGGTTGTATGGATCTCTTTCTTCTCAAAGMTTGCAATGTATTTTTAAGAGAAATTATTTAMAGCAGAGTTTATTTRGTGGCCGCTTGTCACATTGTCAGCTCGTCGAAATTAACACAGGTATCCAATGCCTTTTGGACGTCTAACATGATGTTAGATTTATAAAAAATAGAATTACTAGGTATTCGATAATTTAATCCCAAAAATGWGGGTCACATGACCTGTGATTTTTCGCACTATTTGTTAAAATTGCGGTTAGGGCTAACACATACTTAGGGTTAGRACTGTTTTCTTAGGCTTAGGGTTAAGATTTGGCTTAGGGTTAGCCTTGTGCTAGGTCTACAAGGGGGCTTTGGGATAGGGTTTTGTCCTAGTGCTAGTCACGTGACCGGCCTTCGCCAGCAAATTCAAACTCCATAGATGAGATCTGCACACAACATTGACCATGCTCAACTACCTCAAGTTCTTTGGCTATGCTTAAACATGAAGATGACCACCCCCATACTTTCATTTGGTGCGTTTTGTAAAAAAGGCCCTAACGGCTAGGTTTCAAGACAACCAACCCCATATCTCTCGACTGCCTTCATAGTTTTAGCTTAAACTTTGGGAAAGTAATCAAACCTGTTGTACAAACTGGTCCACGAAAGTTTGAAACGAAATAGGCAATAAATTATGAAAAATTATTTTGAAGCATATTGAACAAAATCCAAATGTTCGTGATTAATATCACCCCAAGTGTATCATTGGAACAGTTGATGCACATAGGCTTGGTGATCACTATGCTTTACCAAGCCACGAGGAACAACGCCCGGTTCAATTGTTCAACGTTTCTTCCGACGATCATGATCTAAGTAGCAGGGAAAGTTGCAGCGATAGTGAAATGGACTGTTGAGCAAGTTGAGAATCTTCCAACACCCCGCCCTACGTCACAAACCAATCTATTGTTTTCACGCTAACGATAGAGCGGATTTCGTATGAGTGGGACACCGTTACCGCACGGTTACCGCACAGTTACCCGACCTGGCCTGCACAATTTTGGTGAACCAATGGGGCACTAGAATTTGGTTACAGTACGATTACGTTCACAGTACAGTACCGTCCGTTTCCCACTCATACGAAATCCGCTCTAGTGGGTTGTAGTGGGGACC